TTCAAGTTGACGCTTGGTCTTTTGGGGTTTTTTCCGTAAGCCATGGTTATTGTATAGAATTCATCATCCGGGCTCCCCACCCACCACGGAGTATCACAAGGACAATGCTAAAAACAAGTGGGTCTCCGACTTGCAGCACCAAGGATACTCGGATGATATACTCAAGCAGAAAAACTAAAATAATAATTCTTCCACCGGATTGGCCCATGAGCCACCGCCTTCTGGCATGAAGACTCTAGGCAAATTTCTAAACATCATATGTCAAAATCAAACAAGAACAAGTGAGCCAAGACCAAAAGTAAAACAATTCCAAATCAAATTTGTGCAAGTACATATAAAATAATCCATGCACAGGGCTTGGCATGACCAGCCGATTGGTTGAACCGTGCCCATTCAACCACCTGTCTAGGTGAAGTCAGGGCCGAAGTGGTGTGTTGGGCAAAGGAACACTGTTCCTGGAACCAGTGCCCTCAACCACCAGAATCCCTTCCTCCACCGACACAGGGGCAAAACCCGCGGCAAACGGGTTGGTGGACCAAATATACCCCCGGGTCCACAACGGGGGGTCGAAGAGCGCTTAGCGTTACCCAGCACCCACCACGAGGAGGTGGCTCTTCACGGCATTCATAACTACTCGCCTCTTTCCGTGACCTACAAGAAGGCTCGTACCCCTATAGTACGCCATGTTTGCCAAGAATCGTGGCAAACCAATCAAATCGCGAGTAGTAACATGTGAAAATGTGTCAAATAGTTTCTTTGCGATTATCGGTTTTCATTATTATTTCAGTGATTATAAAATTATTTAGTGACGTATATTTGTTAACGGCATAAGAAACCTACTTACAGTGATTTTTGGGATGTAATATAAATTAATTAGCGTATGGGATTGTTGACGCATTCGAAGCATGGCTACACCGCAAAACTTTGAGACTTCGCTAAACTATGCTAAGCACAAATTAAACATTAACTTTGAGCTAAAGGATCAGCAACTTTCAACATTGAGACATCTTTACGAAGGGAATGACTGTATAGCTGTCTGTTCCAGGGATGGTCATCGTTGTGTGTCCACTTAATTCCTTGATGCAGGACCAGGTCATGTCATTGTGTGACTGAGGGATCAAAGCCTGTTTCCTTAATTCACAAGGTACGCGTTTTTTTAATTTTATTTAGATGGTAAATTACAATTCAGACTGTTACCTCCACCTGATGACTGTGCATAGACTTAGCATGTTTTCATAATAAACACTTTCTCATCCATACCGAGTATAGATCTATTCTAGCACCATGGAATTTTTGTTAATTCAGATGAATAAGACCTCAAACCAAAAAAAATGATATCTGTAATATGCAATTTACTAGAGTTTCTCAAACAATTATGTACTCCTACCCTTTAAGATGAGGTAGAAGACAATGAGCCATGGCTACAAATATTTAGACACATTAAGAATCTTATTAACATTTAAGTTAACATTGATCTACAGTATGTCTTTAAAGGTTTAGTAAAAAGAGAACCCCATGTTAAGTCAATATAAAATGACAACTTTGCATCATCTCAGTCTTTAGTCAACTTGTACTATTACTTGCACCAATATGGGAAATAATCTGAACTATTTGCACATCAGCTTCTTTGTGCATTTATAAGGTGAGAATGATCTTAAACATGTTAAAAGATCTAACACATATACTTAAACATGTACTTTTCCAGTGTCAACTTTGGCACTGTCAGCTATTCAGAGAGTAATGAATTTTATTTGTGTGAAAACTATCTAAAATATATTGTTGAACTGGAAACTGAAGCTGCTTCCATATCAGTTTGGAAAGGAATGAAGCAAGAATTTGGAATCACCATGCAATGTATAAATAACATGTATGTGAGTCAAATCTGGCTTGTAACTGTATGTATGTAGTTAGTGTTTGTCTGCTAAATACTTCAACATATATACAAGTAATAACATGAAGTAACCAAGCCATTTTACTCCTAAGTATTGACATGATGATGCTGTATTCACAGGTACTGCTGGCAAGACATACAAGATGATCTCACGCCAGATTGATGTGGAGACGCTAGAAGAGGAGGAGGACAATGATCAAGACGAAGTTGATGCAACTGAAAATGACATTCATGCACCAACTTATGTCAAGATGAAAGAACTGCAGCAGGGACAATTCAACATCATCTATGCTCATCCAGAGACTCTTCTCAACAACAAGACAGTTGGACGTCTACTCAGATCTCCACTTTTCCAAGGAAAAGTCTGTGCTGTTGTTGTTGATGAAGTGCACATGATATCCGAATGGTGAGCATGAACAGGAAAAATTCAGGCTTGTATCAATCAGGAAGAATTGTATCTTGAGCATGGTCGAAATACAAACCATCACTTGATACTGAGTTAGCATGTAAAAAATATTTGCTTTATGATTCTAAAGTACATGTGGGGTGGTGGGGTAGCCTAGTATTAAAGCATTCGCTACTCATGCTGAACACCCGGGTTCGATTCCCAACATGGGTACAGTGTGTGAAGCCAATTTCTGGTGTCCCTGCAGTGATTTTGCTGAAATAGTGCTAAACATAGCATAAAATTAAACTCACTCACTGATTTAACTACTTCGTTATTCGAAATGAATTATCTAAACATCTTTTGTATGCATTCTATATCAGTATGAGCACTTTTGACTGGCAGTGGTTGATGTATAGAAGGAAATTGCCTCGAAGGCATCACATATAGTCAATCATATCCTTCAGACATAACCAAGATAATATTAATCTCTTACTGATAAGCAGAAAGATTTAACTTTGAAGTAAACAAACTTTGACCATCTATCCTGTAATTATAAATGTCTTGGTAAGTCCCAAAATATTGGTAAAAACAATGATTATCCAGACAAACAAATGATACCACAAAGCATTGTATACCATGTTGTGGAAATGCCTTAAATGTCCTGTTTCATTTCTACAGGGGGCCAAAATTCAGAACAGCATTCAAAAAATTATCAGAGGTTATCTGCATTTTTGCAAATGCTGCTAATCTGGCACTGACTGCAACTGCTACCCCTCAAGCCATTAAACAACTTGTTGCAGATCTTCAGATTGTCGACTATAAGACGATCAGAATAAACCCTGATCGGGTGAACATTTTTCTGGAGGTATATTTTTTTTCAAAATCATTATACTTGATACTCTGATGGTTATGCCCAGACACCAGTCCCAACATTAATACAATGTATGTAGGACATGCATTATTTCTGTATGTCATTTTAATATAAGCATGAACATAATTTATGTTTTGGAAGAAATATCCAACCATATAATTAGTTTTTATCTGAACATTACTTGCTTTGATGAAACATGATTCACCTGAATGTTAGCAACCACGTATTATGTGAAAGATTAGTCATACAAAGTTTAGACTATTACAAGTAAGATTGTGGTAGTTGTTATATCTGAACCTATTTTTTTTTCAGATTCAAACTCGTCTGCCAAATATCAGGAAACAAGAAAAATTAGACAACCTAATTCAACCACTTGCTGAAGACCTGTGTGATCGTCTGGCTGAGTTCCCTCTTACAGTTGTTTACATCAACAATGATGAGGCACTGGGATATTGCTATCAGTACGTAGCAAGACATCTAAAGGAAAAGGCATCCATTCCTAAAGAATCACCAATTCCAGAAAACCGAATTTTTGCTCAGTACCACAAGGCATACACAGATGAAATGAAAACACACATTGTGTCTGAACTGAGGAAATACAAACCAAAAATTAGGTTGGTGCTGGCCACTGTTGCCTTAGGCATGGGTCTGAATGCACCTAGCATACGACGTGTAATCCATTTTCAACCCCCTACAACCCTTGAGAAGTATTTCCAGGAAATAGGTCGGGCAGGACGAGACGGCAAAAAGTCCAGTGCCCTACTATTTTACAACAAGAATGACATTGCAAAGAATTGTGAGGATATGTCAGAGGCAATGATCAAGTACTGCACAAACAGGACCACTTGCTTGAGGTTACAGCTTGTTTCATATTTTGGTTTCGATTCAGTCATGTTTTCGGATAACCCAGCTGATTGTTGCATTAACTGCAGGACAACTAAGACAGGAATGTGAAATTTGTGATTATATAACTTGACTGGGTGTTCTACTACACAAAACGAGTATGGCCTCAGAAATGTAATGTAGAGGTACCTGCGGATTCTGTAAAAAGGGGCTGCTTACACTAACCATGCTGACAGTGATGAATCTACCTGTGAGTTCCAAGTATTGTTCGCAACTAAATTTAGAAGGGTGCATTATTATACTTCGTCAGGCATCCCATGGAACACTTATTTACTGAATAATTGCCTAGACATAATGGGAAGTGACTCAGGATCTGAGATAGAGGACTCGGTGGCTTAAAGTCCATAGGACCCAGCATGAATAACTATCGCTGAATTTGTTCTAACTTTAATAAAGTTATCTTCAGCCCATCATTGTCATTATTTTGTGGTATAGGCTTATCAAACTTACTATATACAGAACCAATCATATTACAAATAAGTGTTTCAACAAATGTCAGAGACTAGAAAATATATATTTCCATCATAATGCTCTGTCAAACAATCGATGAATATTTCAATACTATAGTTTTGCATGAAAGTAATTGCAACCAGATTTTTATATCACATTGGAAATTTTCCCAATCTAAGATCCTTTTAGGTGAGGTTATATAAGTACAATGTGCAAAAAAGCTAATCTTGTGCCTTACACTTTACCGGTTTTATGATATATATATATAAATATGGGGTTGCAATTACTTTCATGACAAATTACATGTCATCCCACAGTAGTATCAATTGTTTTCTCTTAACATATGTACATGTCACATGATCATAATGAATGATGGAGATTGTCTCAAAGTCCAAGAATTAAATTTTTTATACTTATTATGGTTAATTGGCCTTTTCTGTTATCATTTATCATAACTATTTACATTGAAATAACAACATTGAAAACGTTAATCATACAAATATTGTCACCTGTCCTTTAATCCTGACCAATGTGATAACACAGTACAGTCATTGCCCTGTATATCACCAAAAACTGTATGCACAAAGAATATTTAAGGTTCTAATGTTACACACAGATAAAGTAAAGCTTGATTTCACTGGCACAGTCACTTGAGCAACATGAATCATTAAGTGGCTTTACTTTCACAAACTACAAGTTTGAGTGAACCTGTTCACAGGGAATCTAAGAATATTGTGGGAACTGTGATAGTGTCTAAGTTTCATTCCCTTATTTACAGTCAGTTTTCCTCCACTTCATCATCATCAGGCAGAAAGACAACTCCCCTTTTCAGACGGTCCACATTAGTCTGGATGCTGTTTCTCATCTGTTGCACGTTGAAGGAAAATGGGGACTGACTAATTCCTTGGAAACCTTTCAGTTGCCTACCAGGAGTAACTTTCCATGGGTTACTGGCCTGCAGGACAGACAGTATCTCCTTGATGTCATCCGAAGATGATCTCTGTCTGTGACTTGTGTGATAGTCAGCAGATTTTGTCATTGAGACAACGTTATCATTAATGCTTTCAACAACTGGAGCAACTTTGGATATCTTAACAATTGACCTCTCTGTCTTGTTGGCACCAAGACCTTTTATCAGACCTTTTAACACCAGGACCTGATTTTCCTTTTGCATATCCGCTGCTTTGTTGTGGCCATGTCTGCCAGTGGGATTCACAAATGATGCAGCACGTACTCTCATAGCCATGCGGGAGGACAGCATGATCTCAGTTTTCAGAATATAGTCAATACACTCCGACATGTATTTTGACAGAGCTGAGTGTGAGTAGAAATATGGTATCATGAACTTCAGAGTGATGTTGTTCAAGTACTGACTGACTGACTGAGTTTGGTTTTACGCCGCTTTTAGCAATATTTCAGCAACATCACGGCGGGGGACACCAGAAATGTTGTTCAAGTACATGTTGCCTTCTGAGATAGCATCTTGAAGAACAAGGATGACAAAGTACCAGTTCATGAAGTTAACCACATAGTTGTGGAGATCATCTTCCATTAACACATCTTTGTTGATAAGAACTGGGGTTGTTAAACCTGGAAGAGGCACAGATACCCCATGCTCAACTTGTGTCGGAGTCGCAGTAAGCACAAAAAGATTCCCCGGAGCACCAACTCGGACTTGTATTTGGTTGTTAACCACTGGAACAGTCAATTTTGTCTTAGTCTGCCCCACTGTGACTGTCAAGTTGCACGTTCCTGCTTCAGATTTCTAGGGTTATAAACAAAACCGGTTTGAAATATGATATCATCATATACACATGAATAAACAGTACAATTTCAAACAACATTACAGAACCTTTTTACTTTTTATTGTTGAGAAAAACAGAAAAGAGCCTACAATTGAAACATAACGAAACTTAATGTTACCATAACTGTTATTAGCAAAACCTTTGAAATCCTTCCAGCATATTGTTTCATTGAGAAATACTGTACTTGTGTTCTAAATGAAAATCATAACAGCACTCCATTTCATTAACTGAAATTATGAATTGTAAGGCTTGCACATAATGAAAGAAAAACACAAACCTTTTTCTTGTCCAATGGTGGAATGAACATGGTATCCAAAAGTTGGTCCATGATTCTGTGGAACACTTCCTCCTTCTTGTTGTGCCACAAATTCACCTTTGGTGGGATATCTGGGTGTTTCAATTCATCGCTCAACTCCTTGAGTCCAAACATGTGCTTGGTCAGTTGAAGAAAGTATGACGTGCCGACGACAGCTACAAACTGTTCATGTGCCTGGAAAACATACATTTTAGTGTTCAGGTTCATGTCTACTGTTATAGGTGATGAAACATATACTGACTGACTGAGTGAGTTTGGTTTTACGCCGCTTTTAGCAACATCACGGTGGGGGACACCAGAAAATGGGCTTCACACATTGTGCCCATGTGGGGATTCAAACCCGGGTCCTCGGCGTGACGAGCCAACGCTTTAACCATTAGGCTACCCCACCGCCCCAATGAAACATATAAATATAATGTACAGTTTTAGATAGTGATGAGTGTACTGGGAGTAATTAGATTTAGCTTGGGTGGGGTGGGGGTTATGTAACTACTAAGAGGTACAGCTTGGAGTTTGATGAATTCAGCTTTGGTCAGTTAATTGAGTGTGGCCAGCCAGCTTGTGGGGAGAAGCTCGGTGACTCAATTTTTCTTGACGACAGGACTTTTTGCCAGCTGTTTTGTACCTATGTTGTTCAACCGTGAATACACTAACTTGCACCCATGACTGTGATAAATATGGAAAATGAGAAACTAGGAAATACCGGTATACAGAGTTTTGGAAGGATTTGAAAATGATGTGACTATGCCATATTGCTAATATGTACTGAAAATTCAGCAAATTGATCACCATCATATTGTATTATCAATAATAGTTTTTGTCTTCTATATTACTCTTTTGTAACAATGGTCATTCTTTTGCTACAATGCTAAATTCTATGTAAGTAATCAAATAGAAATACCTTAAACAGCACTTTGACTTTCCCATTAACATTTGATCGTTGAATGACTAATTTCAAATGTCCAAGCGTGCCCTTGTCCATTCCCTTGTCAAACTTGAGAAACTTTTTGCATAATTTCTGCAAATATTTCCAAAGATACTTTCATGAAAGTCATTGTAACATATGTTATATCTGCTATTACTCTTTGTGTAATAAAGAACAGATTGTAGTACTAATGTTTGGCTGAGTGCCATCCGGGATTCGAACCCAGACCCTCAGAGTAAGGCACCTAATCGCCAGCACACAAAGTCAGCCAACAAAAGCACCAGAATCTGTTCTTTACAAGGCAAATTCAATCCCAAATATATGATACATTTAATCACTTTGTAAATGTGTATTCATAAGTCATCGAAATGTTGGATCGATACATATAAGGCACTTACACTCTTTTGGCATAGTCGACATTGTTCGAAAGGTTACTTTAGAATTTAAGCACATTCAAGAACCCTCTAGGCTCAATTCACAAGTACAGTGAAGCCTCGTTAATCCGGACGGTTGCGTTTCTCAGTAAATTCGTCCGGATTGCGAATAGTCCGGACTACTGAATCAAGACCCAAGTTGCTTCCCTAACTATTACAAAAACGACACGAATCTGGATAAAACAAATAAGCATTTAATGTAAAGCTTAATTCATCACATCAATAATTTTACCGAGTAACTAATCACAAAACAGCTCACTTGTCATCCACGCCTTTGTATTGTGGTGTCAATCAAAGTGTAAATGTACAGTATCTTCAGTCGGGAGCTTTTAATGTCTAATTAAAACAACAACCCAGTTGGCCAGTTAATTAAGTAAACATCGCCGGGAGGTGTTGTTACGGTTCGTGAACACGACTTACAGCGTCCGGACTGTGAAGCAATTTACTGTTTATTTTACTGATTGGTGACAGCTACTTACCGTCCGGTTCCGGAAACCGAATTTCCGGATTATCGAGGCAAATTATATAGGCATAGATTGGTAACAAGCTGAAATCGCCCGGGAGGCGAGACATCCGGATTATCGGAGTCCGGACTAATGGGGCTTCACTGTATTTGGAAGTTTTTTTGCATTTGATTCCCACTAACCCCCATAACTTTTGGCTACTTAAGAATAAGGGCTACATACATGTGACAATATTATCCATACCTCAAGGAAATCTTGAAGGGTGTGGAACATTTCCACAATGACTGGCTCAAGCTGATCAAATCTTGACTGCATAGTATGTGTCCCTTCCCTCAAGGCTTTGCTCTTTGGAGTCTTACTCTGGTCAGTTGGTCGCCACCAACCGGAACTCGAAGTGTTTCAAGCTCTGAGCCTAAAATGAATTATTAATGTTTAGATACATATCAAAGGAAAATCATGCAACAACAACAAACTCTTATATGTAAGCTTATGAATACAAACATTAGGTAATATTTCATAGCTATATTGACAATGATTTACATAATCCCACAAATGTTATTGTTCTATATATATATATATATGCATAGATGCAATGATTAACCAAATCTTTAAGAAACATGAAACATTTACCTCTGCCTGCTTTGGCATACCACTGGTTGATGTGCTTGACGTAGGCATCCATTATGTCGATACAGTCCAAGTATGATGCCTCATTTTTCAAAATAATTGGCAACAAGAAAATGGATGAAGCCTTTGACATCTCGACTTGTCTGTCATGTGGTACATGTGTTGGAATTAGGCAACTCATCCAGCTGAATGAACTGACATGCTCTACCAATTTCCTTGCCAGCAAGGTCTTTAAATTTTCTTTATAGTTTCTGATTTCTTCACAAGTTGGCAGGAAATCATCTGCACCCACTGATTCCATTTCTTTCTGAGGAGCTTTGTTTGACAAGTGTGAAGTATCAATCCTGTCCGCAACAAAGTCGGAAGCAAAGAAATGATAGTCTTTACTCTTGTTTGTCATTCGAACATCGTTCGTTGTTACTCTCAGATCTAGATTGTCACCATTTAACTTCCCATCCAAACCTGTACAAGCAAATTACAGATCAGTTTAAACACACAATTTTCTTGAAGCAAATCCAAACTTTTCATTCCTGATTATTATTATATCCTATAACGCATGACAGTACAGATATTTATAACAGTTGTTGCACAACTGGTCACCTTAGAATTTATACATTCACACTGTACATATTGTATTACACAGATTATTTGAACATGAACATGTGTTTCACAAAATCTTTATGCCATGGCATCTAGACCTTTGGGAAGGATTTACTGGCTTACTGCTTGATTCTACAAGTACCTTCACTGAAATTAATTGTCAATATCAAGATAACCTGAAGAAACTGCCTGTATGATGTTATCTTCACAGTGGGCTGCATAACTGTCCAGCAGCTGGTCCGATAATGTCACATGGATCTTGTTCAGAACTGAGAGAAGCTGAAATATTTATCATAAGATTTAGCTTAATACGAAACTTGGTTTGAACAACACATTTTCCAAAGAGATGAAGGAAACATTATTAAATAACACATAAATATATTGGTTTAACAATTTTTACATTATGAAAAATAAAGTTATGTATGTACACAAATATGCTTTAATAATTATGAATTTATTCATAAAATATACATTTATTTACCAATACATGTCAGATACATTTTTAAAAAGATCACTTACTTGATATATCAGGATACCATCTTCAGTTTAGTGGTCAGCCATGCTTGAATTTAAACGAAGAACAGGAAACAAATGAACGAGTAACAAATACTATAAACATATCAAATCTATGGTGGTGCAAACTGTGTAACAAAACATAAGATGACTTTATCTCAAATAAACTTCATCAAGGTTATATAAAGTCTGAAAGTATATCTAGCTTATTTGGTAAATTTATTCAGTACATCATGAAAGTCCATACCAAAGATGTTTTGTCAGCAGAGATTTCCAAAGTGAAGGAAATCATTGTTTTGTTTTCATGAAAAACAACCCCACCATAAATAACAATGAACAGCATGCAGGCATGCATGGAACTTGGAACAGCATTCAAATGAAAGTGGAACAAAACCATTATTTAAATCTATATGTTGATGGTTCATATATTCCATGGTATTATTATCAATGTCATATTACCATTTCATAATATTCTTTAATGTTCAAATTTAAAAGTGTTTATTGTACATAGATTAGGAAGTTAAATCAGTGGGAAACATCCTATAAATTTCAAGAAATTAAAACAAATTTAAGTTGAATGAATGCTAAAGATTAATAGTAATACGTTAGGTTTTTAAATATATATATATTTTTAAAAATAACAACATACTAACATCAATTTCAAGTTTTTTGTTTCAAAAGATAAAGAAAAGAAGCTCCTTTAACATGCTTCAAAAGAGCTTGTAAATAAAACAAAACTCAAAACGTTATTCAAATAAAGGTACCATGTTATCTGCATGATATCTGATGGCTGTGGTCGTAAATAGTCTCTGAACAGCTGACACTCTATTGTTGTTTGAGTGGAGTATCATACCATAGATGGTAGCAATGGTAGAAATCTTAGAGGAAAGAGTTATCTTGTCACCTAGTGCAGAATGCAGAATGGAAAAGAGAAAAGGGGACACCCTCTGCAGTTCACACACTGCCTCCGAAAATACATCACAGGTAGACAAATACTGAGGGGACTTTGAATAGAGAACCTCTTTCCTGGTGCACACATCTGAGTCAGTGCTTGACACACATGTTCAATGTGTGAGGCCCATCCACTTGTATCTGGTTTGGTCTCAATAAGTCTTTCTGCAGACAACTTGTTTTGTCTGTCAGTTTGTTCTGAAGCAGACTGGACAGTACACTTTGCATACACATGTTCAAATTTCATAGGGTCATGTTGTGGCTGTGTTGTTGCTGCGTAGAGATGATCGTGCTTAGATATGTCAACACTCTGTGACGAATCATTTCTCTTGTCAGCAGAAGATGTTGTATCCTCCGAAAACAATTTTCTTCTGGATTCTTTTTGGTCTGATTTGTCTGACAGGGATGTGGACTCATCACTAATTCTTAGTTTCTCTACAGAAGAAATCAGTTGACTCGCAACGCTTAACCTTTTAGGTGTGCTTACCTTCGGTGTTCCAATTAGTCTTTCGGGCCGTTGTAGTTGCTCTAGTCCCGATTTGGCATTGCTTATTGCAGTCGCTTGGAAGACAGCAAAGCTTTCGACCTTATTGTGGCACGAACGGCAAGTCCGTGTCATTGATTTCTATCCGTATGAACTGCCTCAACCTGTCCCTAAATGCTAGATCCTGTGTTAATTTCTTTCCTTTTAAACTGAGTAATCTTTCGGTCTTCTTCCTGCAGGTTAAACAAATTTGATCTTGTTGTTTTCTTGGAGTAGCCATGCTTGGAAACTTAGAGTTATCTTTCCTTGGAAATAGTCCGTGAATCTAGACTAGTTTCAACTCCGTGCCCGTTTGCGCTTAGACAAGGCCCAGTCGTAAACATGGCCACGAGAGGGGTACGAGCACGCTCCGGCACAGCGATGACTTAACATAACATCACTGCCACAGGCTAATTTGCATATCACGTGACCGGACTTTTCTCTTGTTTGTAATCAAACGCGCATATTCATAATAAGAAGAGACTGGACTCACGAAAGCTTTCTGCGCTCTCTTCATAATGTTTTACATTGTTACATATATATTCTTCCACAATTGCGACAGTAAGGTCTATGACAGTAAATATTTAGACATCAAACTGTCTGCATCGTTTGCTCTCCATCAGCTTCGATGACAGCACGTGGAGCCGTACAACCTATGTAAACAAAGGATCGCTACGCAAATCGAAATAGTGTTACATGTTTTTGGATATTTTTTCAGTGAAACTAAACCATTCTATTAAAGATGTTTAGTTAGATGTGTAGACTCGTCAAAAATAAAAGAGTAAAAGAAATCTGTACATTATATTGAATGGACATTGCAAGATGTGACGAATCGTCACATTTTTCTGGCCTGTGGCAGAGGTACTATGCTGGCTTGCCGCATGGAACTCTGGGTAGGAGAGCGGGGTACGAGACGCCATCCGGCTTGCCGGAATGACCCGAGTAGTTACGAATGTCTTCACGGTTGCCGAATATATATGGAAACTATACACAGAGAATTCCCATGGCCTTGAATTTAATGGAGATAGTAATGAGACCACCAAGTACGACACGCGTGGATCAAGGAAGGAATCTACCCAACGGAATATCGTGAGTAACCCACAAAACAAAGGCTATCCCATACGATCTCTCAGCAAATCCTATAACACTCTGGAAGGTGTGTCGCATATTCGAACGAAGCGGATTGTTCTGTCTAACATCAAGGCAGACAAGTCCTTTGTGGAACTAAAGAGCGTCATATCCCACTATGCCCAAGAACGTCACGTCCGTGTAACGTATGTCTGCCTCATGAAGAAACGGACCCACTTCCATAAATCAGAAACATATACTGTACAAGTTAACCTGCCACTAAATGATTATGACGTCATGAACAATGACGAATATTTCTGGCCTGAGGACATTGTGTGTCGGGACTATGTGCCAAGGTATCGCCAAAATGATCAGAAACACCAACAATACAGAGAAAACATCTACGAATAACATGGATCTGTACATACTAACTCTGGTGTCTGTGATGGGCTAAGTGTGTTGACCTGGAATGCGCGTGGTGTGTTCCACCAGACCCACAAAATGTCGACGTCATTGCTGTACAAGAACACTGGTTGAAAACAAGCAATATTCAATGTCTGAAAGATGTAGACTTCTGTCCCACATATGTGATGATGTAACTACCTGCACAAGAGGTTGTGGTGGTATTGCTCTACTACAGAACACTAATTCTAAATGGAAAGCACAGTGTGTACGTTCGTCTGCCAACTGTTGTATTGCTGTTAAGTTAACTCACCCATGCTCCGCCGACATGTATGTGATTGCATGTCGGCTTCCATCCACCAATGCCCTTCACTCTAGGTATAGCACGGCACTCGACGAACTTTGTGACTTATATGATGAGCTGTGTGTTCAGGGCGACACAATTCTCCTTGGTGGTTTCAACTCGGATATATGTAAGCGATTATGTCACCACGTGGCAAACTTCTGTCTCACTTTGTTAGTACTCGTTACTTAGTGAATGTTATTCAATATACCAATTCACATACTTTCAGAAGCAAGGATAACATGAACAAATCTCTCATTGATTACATCCTGATTCCCACACATTTACTTAATAATGTCACATCATGTAAAGTGTTGTTCACTAATTATGATACATCTGATCACTTTCCATGCGTAGCTACCATACAAATAAATGGTAATACAAAGGCAAAGGTTAAAGAAGCTCATTTCATTAAATGGGACAAGGCTTCCAGTATTGAGATCTCTTCATAAAAGAACTGTCTTGATAACCTGCTTAACAATGCAGAGATTTGTTCATCAGTCCATACACGTGATGCTATTGAATCATTCAGTACAGCCACAGCCCTGTTTTAATTCATACAAATCTTCAGGCTGTTGCAGTTCGGATAACTATGCACATTGTTTTTACTTTGTGCTCTCTTTACATTCCTCACACATCGTTGCTTCAACTAACTGACCTTCAAGCGCTTTACGACCAGCTTCCCAAGCCCTGCATCATTATGGGCGATCTAAATGGTCATAACCCACTCTGGGGCAGTATGCATACAAGCAATAAAGGAAAGTTACTTGAAGATTTCATTTCAAACAATGATTTATGCATTTATAACGATGGCTCACACACTTATCTCCATACTGGTACTGGTACCTGTTCTAATCTTGACTTGTCCATCACTGACTCAAATCTCCTGAATGAATTTGATTGGTCCGTCCATGACGACCTTTGTGGAAGCGACCACTTTCCTACAGTTCTAAAACCAGTAGCCCCATCTGATGTTCCTCCATCATCAAGATGGAATTTCAAAAAGGCTAACTGGCCTTTATATGAAACTCTGTGTGCTGACGAACTTAAA